ATTTCTCCGCCATTCTACGGATTTGTTGTCCACCCAACACTGTTTTTTGGCTGTGACTGCTTTGACATTCTTGTGACTATAAAATGGCGTTAGCAGGTTTAGAACCAGGAAATAAAAAAAATATATTTAAAAAATTGCCGTTGTTTCGTCATGTATTCTCATCTTTTTCAAGGCTATTTTCAGCTAAAAGGTTCTTTTAAAAGGTTTTTTATTTCCTGGTCTTAAACCTGCCAACGCCATTTCATATACAGGGTGCAAACCAAAGTGGCTCATTCCTATAACTTTTTTTATATTTTCATATAGAGACGCAAGATTTGGTGTGTAAATAGGATTAGGATAAATTAGGATTGATTGACACATTTAATTGTTTTTGGCCACTTCCTGTTTCACCGGAAATTACTACAACTTTTGATTTTTAAATGACATCCTCGGTATTTTTTTACATTATTCGACAGAAAATGTCACTCTGAATAGAATGACATATCATACGTCAACTTTTGACATTTTCGCATATGGTTTATTTGTAATGTATTTGTAAATATGCTAATGAGTCACACTTCTTTCATTTAAAAAAATTGAATTATGATTAAAAATATGATTTGGGAATCTTTTAACCGGCCAAGATAAAACACGAAAAACATTATACGATCAAATGTATTTTTTCAACAATCCTTGATTAAAAATTAGTGTTTTTAATACAGTCATGGCACCCTTTATTGAACTTTAAAAATCGATTTTTTTAAGCGAAAATGTCAAAAGTTGGCATATAATATGTCATTCTATTTAGAGTGTAATTTTCTATCGAATAAAGTAAAAATATACCGATGGTGCCATTTAAAAATCAAAAATTGTAGCCATTTCCGGTGAAACAGAAAATGAAACAATTGAATACGTCAATCAATCATAATTTATGTCATATACTAACATATCAAATCTCGTTTTTTTAAATTAATATAATAATATATTAATTTTCATACTATCATCGGTAGAGGTAATATTAATACTAATAATACTGTTCGTTTTCAAATTGTCACCCTCAGCACAAAATCTCGTTTTTTTATCCGATAATATAAAAAGCTATATGGGTGAGCCACTTTTTAGACGCACCCGGTATAAGGACGCAAATCTACCACATTATTCTTGTGACTGCTTTTGGCAGAGCCACATAATGGTTCTGGGCCTATGAATGGCATTGATGAGCCTTGTTTGGACATTTATTTTACCTTATCATTACCCTTGAGACCCCAGTGCACTGGTATCCAGGCTAATGTAACACTACTACGCTCACCCAATATGTTTAGAGCATTCACAGCGGCCTTACGACCAAAAAAAATCCAAAAGTTTCCTTGATTTAACTAAGAACAATAGCCGTACTTACGGGGTTTTTAACAGGACAGTGTCTCCTCAATGAACTTCAGTAGATTGACGCTAAGAAACAACGATGAATGCAGATTCTGTGGGGAAAATGAGAAAACACCAGAACACCTCATCACTGAGTGCACCGACCGTAAACTTCTACATTCTACATGCACAAAATCTCACGCTAATCTGTAAAACTTACTTTAATTAGAAGAGTTTTTGAATTGGTAGTATACAAAATTTATTTCCATATTTTACCTTAAATTTTAACTCAAAGTGTCTCTATATAATTACGAAACGATTCACCTAAATTGACTTGTAACTTAATTTAATAATTTCCTTTAATATATTTCCCCTCAAAGTCTCTTCTCGTCAATATAAGCCGCTGTGTTATCTCAAACCGAATTTTCCGAAGCTTTTCCGCTTTAAGTAACTTCAACATGACGCAACTAAAGCGCTTATTTATTATAATATTATTCAAATGGAGAGATAACACTGACAAACCTCATTATGTAGATTTACCTTTAAGGAAAATGTATTCGTACACAAATAAATTATGTAAATAAACTTAAGGGATTGGCTTGAGAATAACAAAGTATTTGTGTGGAAGAACTTGGAACGTTTTTTGTTACATATATATTATCATAGGCGCTTATTTTTATAATTTTGTAGATTCTCCTTTCAGTGGCAAAAAACAGAATTCTTTTCAAGAAATGAAGCTGCTACAAAGGTATATATATATAGGGTGTCCCAGGCTGAGCGCGCATTAGAAGTTTCTAGAACTACAATATCTAGATCGGAGATTTTTTGCACATCACTATCTCACAACGAGATCTATCGATTAAAAATAATTTCAATATGGTGGGGGTTTCCGGAAATACCGGAAGTTGATAGCAACTTTCTTATTTTAAATGGGTACCCCCATTTTTTATTACATACTTCTCTGCAAAATTTTATGAATTTTGATATCAAACACTCTATATCTAAGATTAACCGTTTTTGAGAAACTACTGGTTAAAAAACAAAAGTACATACCCTTTAAAACTATATGTAAACATAAACTGTAAACATACCCTTTAAAACTAAATCTTAAATAACTTAAAAATGATTTGCTTTAGGTATAGGACAATGTATAATCAAAAAGAGTAACGAATTAAAAAATCTTTTCACTGGTGAAATAAAAAAAGTGGGTTTTCTTTTGAAAAAAATGATTTATGATGATTTTTTTAACGCTCAATTCCAAACAATTTAAATTTTGAAATAGTTTGCCACATGTCTTCACTTTATGCTGCAGTGGCTGTTGGAATCACTAAATTTATCGTTTAGGCTATACCGATTTTTTTGACAGGTAGTTTTTTTCCTCCAAAAATTTTAAATATTTTTTTTTCTCGAAAACTGTTAATATTAGGTATAGAGTGTTTAATATCAAAATTCATAAAATTTTACAGACAATTTAACTATGTATTAAAAAATGGGGTTACGCATTTAAAATAAGGAAGTTGTATTTCCGGAAGTGCCGCTATATGGAAAATATTTTTAATCGATAGATCTCGTTGTGAAACAATATTGTGCAAAAAATCTCCGATCTAGATATTGTAGTTCTCTAATGCACGCTCAGCCTGGGACACTCTGTATATACTATGTAAAATAGGTATTAGCAAATAAATCGTAATATCGATACTTCAGCCCTATAGAACATTCCTAGCAAAACAAAGAGTTTGAACGCTGAGCTGAATTGGTCATTATGTCACTGACCTTTCGGCAGTTTTCGCTAAAAGTCGGGCTCTCCATTAAAAGTCCTTTTCCGAGCATGTTTTGTTCGAATAAATTCCATCGTTCCGAATCAAATGTTGTTTTAGCACAGTGAACTTCATACACGCTGCTAGAATCGATTAGATAAAAGTCGTCGAGGTGGTATTTGCGAACTACCCAAACCAGAGGCGTACGATTTACCTATATTTTAGAATACATAAGTTAAGAGACCTCCGATCTCTTTAATTTAATTATATGCATATATTTCTAGAGAACTGTTTATTTGTATTTTATTCTATAAAAATATTGGGTGATTCACGGTGATGATTTTTTGTAAAAATTTGGATTTTTACAAAAAGGCACCTGCTCCATCTATAGAGGTATTTGTAGCGTTGTAGCATCATTTGAAAAGCGGTAGCTTCTTTGTTAGTTTAAATGGAACAACCCGAATATTATTACAATTTTGGAAAATGCTTTCATATAACATATTAGTGATCGGAATACCGGTTCCACATGAGTCGCGTTTCAATAGTGACCGTTCCAGAAAAATACCGCGACTTTGTAATCGAAGTTCCGGCTTCCAAAATGTCGCCTATGCAGTATTTCTGGTGGCTGCATTAGTACCTACCTACTCCCAACCAGCGTTGTCAGGTTCTTACAATTGTACCAGCTCTGTTAACATTTTGCTGAGATTTAAGGAGTTTTTTACCACTTTTTTTTTCACAAACTGCAAATTTTAAAAATAAAACTTTCCTATAATATAAATTGTATTTTTAAATTTATTATAAGAAATGCCATTATCTCCATCTCGTGTAAATTCATAAACGAAATAAAGCACGAATAGATTGACTCAAAATATGTACATGCATTTATTGGTAATTCAATACTTTTTATTCGCCATCTATTTTATTTTTTCAATGATATTTAGATTTTTGGATTATTCTTATTATCCACCTTATAACCGCTTAAGAAAATACTTTTGTAAGATAATTACATTTTTATTTTGTTCTTAAAATATGTATGCTTTAGTAAAATTTTAGCTTAAACAATAAAAAAATAACATAATTAGAATCATTATTCAAGATACCTACATATGCTAAAAATTTATGAGACAGCTGGAGAGCCCCTAGGGTAAGCTCTCCAACAGTCGCGCGACGCTAAGTAGTTACCAGTTCCAGTTACTACTGTTCGCGACAAACAAAACCACGACTATAGGAACGCGACTGCTGGAACGAAATAGGTCGCGGGCGAAATCGCGCTACTTAGTCACCAGTTCCAGTTCCAATTACTACTGTTCGCGACAGACAAAGCCACGACTCTAGGAGCACCCCCACGGCTGGGGCGAAATACGTCGCTATGCGGTTACTGCTGTTCGAGTCAACTTCAAGAGCGATTATAAATAACTTATTCGCAAATTATAAATAATTTATAATTTCGTCGTTATTATGATCGTCGTTCTTCAGTAACAGGTTCCTGATTCGATGTGGAGCGCCGACACGCTGTTATAAAAATACCGCTCCAAAATCGCTTTACTCAAATACCGATACATCACTATAATATATACTTATCTCTAATAGTTTCCGAGATAAAAATCTCAAAAATTGTTAGAGATAGGGATAGGTTAGTATTATAGAAATGAAAGTAGTTAGAAAAGTGTAGTAATATACCAGTTGTTCCATTTAAAATAACAAATATTCTAACACTATACCCCTAAAAAAATTAAACAGATGAAGCAGGTGCTTCTATGCAAAAACTCAAATTTTCGAAGAAAATCCTATCACCGGTTCTCCATAAACGTCTAACGTACCATGGCCGTGAATCACCCTGTATACTGTTATTAAACGTATCTCTATTTCTCGCTCTATCTATATTCTCTAAAACCATCTTACCTTTTTGCCATCCAATTCGTGTGATCCCTGGGCTAATACCTTATCCACGCTGGATGGATCGCTGAACGTGATAAATCCAAATCCCCTAAAAGCAGACAGAAAACATAAAAATTTACAGGGCTCTATTTTATCGGCCGAAATGAAGATATCTACTGCGAGCGAGCGGGTGAGCCGACTATCATTTTTTAAACAGTCGGCTAGGGTGCCAGAGAGATAAAAACTATAAATATAACTCGTGAGGTAGGTTATTTTTGAGGAGGGTGAATTACGTCAATTGTTTTATTAAGGTAATGATATTTTCTCATAAATGTGCACCTTGTTTCTTTCAAGAATTGTGTTGAAATTCATGTGGGTAATATGGAATTATTATAAAAACTACATTTTTAGAGTTTTTGTTCATTAAATATTAGTAGTATACTTGAGTCTCCTTAAGTCAAGTGACATACAAACTGCAACAATATAAAAATGAGGGAAAACTTAAAAAAAATAAAAAACATAATTTGGTGCTTAAATTGGGACAAAGTTGCCTACTAGTGACTTCATTGGTAATTCGTTTGTACGTTTAGTAAACTTATCTTTTTCATTTTTTGGAAATTTGGCGGAAAACTGAAATTTCCGACTTTTGTTTTTATTTAAGTTTACTTTGACAGAAAAAGTCTACAGATACATATTCAAAGAATAGTATATTGTTTTATTAGGAGTAAAAATGACACTTTTTGCGGCAAAGCTGTACGTTTGACATAGAGCCCAGGCACAAAGTCATTTTTACTCCGAATAGAACATGTTATTTTATTTCAAAGGCCACAAATAATTCCAAGCGTTCCAAATAATATAAAAATATTTAAAAGTCATACCTTGTAATTATATATCGAGAAACTGTGGTTACGCTCGTTGAATCTGACACTTAATGTCAGTTTAATAATATATTTTCGTACTTTTATGCTTAGGCGTAAAAAAAATTAAATGACTTTTTTATATTGTCAATCACATCGCAAAAATTAATATTTGTGTGACGTTTAAAAAAAAATAATTATTAATTCTTCGTTAGCTTCGTTCTTTGATAACGTGAAAAATTACTTAGGATGTTTCGTTTTTCTGGAACCATCATCAAATTTATTTTTTTAAATACGGATATGTGTTCCTATTTCAATTTTGAGACTTTTATGGCCTCCCATATAAAATTATGTAGCACACTACTTGCCCAAGAAATGTACCGTATTATCGAAAAAAAAAACGGCGTCCAGTTGGCTTGGAAATGAACATCGATGACATTCCCCATATTTTTACATATAAAATGACAGTGATATTCATTTCGTAGCCATCGCTGACGCCGTTTTGTTTTCGATCATATGGTATAATGAATTGGTAACTACACTAACCGTACTTTCTTACAGGATATAATGTGTTGGAAAGAGAGGGTATAAAGGTCACTTTCGTTATGTGCATGTGAGAAACAAGCAACATTTTACACCATTGCATTTTGAAAGCTATAAGGTTCTAAAAAATGAAATAAAAAATTCAAGTCTTTATTCAAAAAATAAAATTGATGAGGTTTCATAAAATAGAAAAGTCTTTAGTGATTTTTGACGCCACCAAGGGATAAAGCTAAGTAAGTTTCATTCAGAATTGCCTCAGTTTAAGCCACCAAGTATTTCTTACCGTTTCCGAAATCCCAATTTGAAACACCCTGTACATGAATAATATAATTATTCATGTACAGTACAGGTACAGGTACAATCATTCATTAATACACCCTGAACTTTAAAGAAAATAAACTACCTAACATGTTATATCCCTACAAATGTCTACTTATTTTATATTTACTTGATATAATTTAAACTAAAAATGTTCTAAATTCATCTAACAGTTCCACAGAAAAAAATAATTTCTAAATATACATTACAAAATTTATTTTTTATACATAGTCTAACTAAAATTTACCAATTGATCGACTGCATTATTCTATGCCTCGGGAATAAATATCAATACAGGACACAGTTAACAAGTGTTAAAATCTACTAAAAATGGATGGTTAGTGAAAAGGAACTAAGATAGAGAGTCTACTGTTCATCTACACCCGGCCAATGAAGAATGAATTGCAGATATCTTCTTAAAAATTAAGTCTCGTATTTGGAAGGTTGAAGTTGATCAAGAAATATTTTATGTTACTTTGAATGCGGTAGACAATGATTCAGTTTATCAAGTGTGAACTAATCTAAATACTAGAACTACTAAACTTATATACTAGAGCCGAGCATTCACCCGTGAAGAAGTTGGGTGCAGTCAAGCATGAGGTTGTCCACTGAGAATGACTGGTTGTCCACGTTTTATGAAGTGGTTGCCTTGTTGTTCAAATTTCCATACTTGGATTGCTAAAGATTTTATTATTGCTAGATATAAATACCTCTTTAAATTTGCGCTTTTTCCAATGGAGTTCTTTGCTGACAATGTGGAAATTTATAACAAAATAGCAACCACTCGTAAAACGCTCCAGTGCAGGTATTCTCAGTGGAGTACCTCATGCTGGGGTAAAATCGGCTCAGTAGTTTTAGGATTTGGATTAGTTGATACATAATAACGATCAGAGTGGAAGTTATCAATGGAAATCCGAAATTCTTTTAGTTTTAAGAAATATTTTTATAATCTATACCTTTTGATTTTTAAATGGTATCCTGGGTACTTTTTTTCTTTATGCTTATTATATGACAAATTTTGGCATTTTTCTTAAAAAAATAGTATTTTAAATTTCATAGAGTGCAATGATTGTGTTCATAACGATAATTTGTCTTGAAATACCTTGAAATAAGTATGTGGGACCAAATTTTTCGTTAAAAAATGCTTTTTCCAAATATGCAATTGAGCTACCCTCGTTCCATTTGAAAAACAAAATGAGTTATGATTTGGGCATGTTTTAAACGGCCAGGAAAAGTCAGGGAAAACATTAGACGATGAAATAATTTTTTTCAGGACTCCTTGATTAAAAATTAGTGATTTTAACACAGCCTGGATACCATTTAAAAATTAAAATCTAATAACATAATTAAAAAAAATAATAACATCAATCAATCCCTGATCGATGTCATATACCAAATCTCGTTTTTTGATCTAAAAAAATTATAAGAATGAGCCACTTTTGATAAACACCCAGTATATATTATAACAAAAATACCATAACATTAACCTAGTTGTCAAGGAAACAAAAAAGCTTTTTTGGATGTTATACTTCTATAAAGAGTGCCAAAAAATAGTATACCAAATTTCAGTGAGTCACTACTCGCTGACGAGTATTTTGACACGCATCAGAAGATGGCTACGCAAGGCGTTTTCTTTCATGAGCTTTTCTGTGACTGAAAAGCCCGATACGTGATGTTACCTCTCTTCCGCACTCCAGACAAAAATCTCATTGCTTTGTTGCCTCTTTACTTTTTGATTGTTGCTATTAACTATTTTAGTTAACAATTCTTCTCCATTACGTTCCATTGTGCGCTGCTTCTTCCCACTCATTCTGCATGTTAATCCTCTTTAATGTTTCGTGAAAAATGTCCTTGTACCTTTTGAGTTAACCGCCTGGGTTCTTCTTACCGTCTACAAGCTCACCGGAAAGCAGAGATTTTGGTAGGCTGTTTCTTGCATTCTGCATACGTGACCAGCCCATCTTAAACGGGATTTTGTAATCATAACATAAAAGCAGTTAGCTTTTTCAAGAACCGATGCGTTTGAGACATGGTGGAACTAATTCTTAAGGGTTGTCTAAGCTGTCTCTGTTGCAACTTGTTTAATGCGTTCATGTGTCGGAGGTAGGGCACCCAGGTTCACCATCCTTCCATTTAACATGGGGGGGGGGGGATTATTATTGCTCGGCACACTGCAAGTTTCGTTTTTCTGCTCAAATCATGATTGTAGAAAACCCTGTCTTTCAATTTCCAAAATGTTCTTGAGGCCCTGCTAATCCTGTGCTGAATTTGATATTGGCCTTTTCCTAAATCAAACTCCCCAGGTAATTGAATTCCGCTACATATTCCAATAGTTTTTCTCTGATTTTTATAGCATTGTTGTGATCTTCCGGGGGAGTGTACAAGCCAGCTTAAGGCCCACAGCCTCATATGCCCAGGTATATGTATTCAACATTTTATGTAACTGCTGTAACATTTTTGCAACTAGAGCGCAGTCATCAGCATAATGAAGTTATTCTACACATAAGAATAAAACAAAAATTTCCTAGTCGATTTTAGTATTGGCGAAATCGTTAGATGTAAGAAAATTTTGGATAAGTAATTAATGAAAATTTTAACGGATCTCAAAACAATTAACAATATAGTTACATACCAGACATATGACCTATCAAATTGAGATAATGATAACAAGATGTTACAAGTGAGAACTGTAAGAGCTGTAAATACTATCAGAGGCTGTAATTTTCTCAGGAAGCATTTTAGGGCATATGTCCATGAATGCTTTCTTTTATTTTTATTTGTAGAATCGGCCACTGAAGTTTTTTACACTATTTTTTGTCACCCTGTATACAACAGATACACACATTATACACCGATGTTCCCTCTCATATAAAAAAAATAAAAATAAACGTAAAATAAAAAAAAAATACGTAAATTTGAAGAATTAGTATTAAACCAAAAAAAAAGTGACGTAACCTCCAATTTGAAATTCTAAAACTGGTTTTTTATATCAACTCCAACCCGTCCAAACCGAGCAGAGTGTTTTACATCTAGCACAAACACACACTGAGTCCTCGGTGGTGACCTTGTGGTGAAACGTACCTGGGTGTGCACACCAGGCCTGGTCCGCCGTCTTGCACGCCCGCAGAGTAACCGGCGCAGGCGACGCCGCTGAAAGAGACCAACTCACTGTTCACAACAACCCCCTCATTCGTTTATTAACGAGATATATCACATGTGCGCAACTACTATGGATCAAGATCAAGGTCTAATCTAATATCTGTGTGGGTGTCACTACTAAGCGAGCTACTCTAAACGGGCTGAGAGCGGGTGGGTGGTAGGTGGTAGTTTGGGTGGTGGGTTTAGGTGGAAAGGTAAAGGCTCAGTATAAATTTTCATCTCTTTTTTTGTTCGTCAGGTAGTTTACAAATGTTTTCCAAAGATATGTAGAGGTATAAGTCTACCGCGACACAGAAAGCGACTAAGGCTGTTTTAAACACACTTGTTTTTTTACAGTGGAGTATACCAACATGCGTATTGTAGAACTCGCGTTAAGGTGCGTATTTGCGCGACCAATTCAAACTACTTATTTTCAATGAAAGTCCTCACAGTAGCTGTAGTATGTTCGCCCGTATACTTGTTTACATTTGCGATATGAAACAACTCTGACTACTACTAACTGCTACTAACCAACAATTTGTTTTATGTGATCTGTGGTCTCCTTTCTTTTAAATGTTGATTTATTTTTAAATTGATGTTAATCATTAGGCAACCAGTAAACTCACAGAATATGTATTTCTTTTGCATAACCAAAATTGTAACTCTAAATTTTACATAACCAAATTGCCATTCAAAATCGTTGTCTTTTTTAGACAGATGTCACTTGTCTTGTCATTATTCAATTCATTATTCGAATTCTCAGATTGTTGTTAACAAAAGTTTCATCTTAAAATAAAATTTAAATCAATCACAATTATTTATCTCCATCATTTACCGCATTAATAGTACAGAAATTATAGCTCAATTACAAATTATTCAATATTTATAGTGATTTACAGTAATTTTATTAAATTATACGAATATTCTCGTTGATTATTGGTTTGAAATAAATATGACAGTGTCCTCCTATAAAAATGCGAGTTACTAACTCTAAATTCTAATTCTGAGCTGGCAAATAAGCTGGATACTTTACCCAGACCGGTATTCAGAAGCTACAAACTTGTCGATGAAATTATGCATGAAAATTTACTATGCATTAAGGTTCGTACAGTATCAAGTTTATTATAGTGATTTTCTTAGCCACGTATAGCACAGATCGTTACCCAGTGTTGCCACAAGCTTATTTTTCATCGGAGTAGATTATCACAAGATAGCGGGGTTAAATTGTTTTACAAAAAGGTAGATCTACCCCGAATGGGGTAGCTGTGGCAACATTGCCGCTATCAGTTTTCCTCTCGCTAGCTCGCGTGTCACGGCTGTCTCGCGGCCGTCATTCAAGCCTGTGTGTTACGGCATCGTAGGGAAACCCTAATTGATTTAGTACGTGGGTGGAAATATTTATGGAATCAGCAAGAACCGAATGATCACTATCGCAATTTACAAAGGTCCTTGTAGAAAGAAGCATCTTCCAAAAGATGCCAAAGATCACCAAATTTATTTCCTTTTTTAATATTACATTTATACATTTCTTCTTCTTTTGCAAATGATCCGCCATCATCAGAAGGTTTTTTGTAGAAAAAATAAATCCCAAACTGACACAACATAAACTTCTTTCGCGTCTGTCGCTTAGGAAGCACCAAACGCCACACGCTTTTGGTGGGGCCACTCGTATATATTAGTGATATTTTGTTTCTAATAATAACGCTTCATAAAAGCTTTAGTCGCTTCTGTGTGGCCGTAGACTAAGTAATGAAAGGCTAGAAAAAAAAATGATGTAAAACTATATAGAGCTCAGGATATATACATACTGGAGTGACTTGGCTAGTCATTTGAAGTCAGTTTTGTCTCAGTCTATTGTTGGTTAACTTGATATAGTCATATTTTAGAATGGGTTAATCAGTAGATTATTAAAATATAGATAAAAAAATGTATTGCTTAGGCATCTGCAAAAGGTTAGTAATATTTGGTTATCGTCTTTTTGATTCAAATACATCATAAGTAAAAATTACAACAAACAAAAATAATTGAGTTACTGGTGATTACATGAAGTCAAATTCAACTTCATGTCATCTTAACAAGAACAGCAACAATTTTTAATAGACCTGGTAAAAATTAAAATGTTTTTGAATTATTAGGATATTTTAAATATATTTTTATTTTTTTACTCTTTGTTTTTTAGTCGTACATTTAAAGGACGTTTTGCCTCTCCAAAGTACCACACACTCCATTCACAAAGTACCTGGAAGCACTCTTTCTCTTGTTTCCACGTGTCCGGTTTTGTTTTGTTCAATCAGCTTCTTAGAATAGAGAGAAGTTTCAAAACCCGCGTACTTTTTATGGAAATTCAGATTTTCAAAGAAATGCACAACAATATGTGCATCATGATTTTGCATATTATGCAAATTTTTCTATAAAATCTTTGTAAGACCTGTCAAAAGAATATACAACGGAGAAAAATCAAAGATATTCCTTGATTTAATTAAGAACAATCTTTGGATGATCACGGATCTTTTAATAGGAGACTGTCTCAATGAATGCCTCAGTAAATTGAAGCTAAGGAACAACGGCGATTGCAGATTCTGTAGGGAAAATGGTAAAACACCAGATCACCTCACCACTGAGTGCACCGAAACGACAACCACTCTCGACCGTGCCATAAACTTTGGTACGACTGATATCGGAGATGGCGAACTAGCCTGTGTAAAAGCGCCTCAAATACTGACTTTTAATAAATAATAACAATAATAACTTAATTGCCTTAGAGGATTACAGGATCCCAATTATCAGACAATTATAAATAGTAAAGAAACACATAGTAAATAGTTTAAACAAAGAAAAATTCGCTAGATCTACAAGACCTCTCAAACAATATTTTTTTTTTGTTTTGTGTAGTAGAAAATAGCAGATAACGCGTCTTGAATATTCTTACCATCGGCATTCACCCTCAGACAAACTAACAACAATTTGGCACCAGAACTGTAGGCGATCTAAGACCGTCTTCTGACGGAATTCTAGTCTTGTGCGGCTTAAAACGCAATTATAAGTTTGCGGCGATCGATTCGGATGCGGGCGGAAGGGAAAAGCTCTTCTCGCGCGCGCCATTTAAATTATTGCACTCTTAGGAAAAGCACTGATTAACTTTTCTAAAATTAAATTTCTCCAAGGCTCGTTCCTTAATCGCGAATTATCCCACTTTTTACCATTCCTTGCCCGATAATAATCTTTTCTTGGCTTTGATCCGATGGCTTTATTGCGGATTTTGTATTAATTTTGGCAGTTAAAAGGAAACTTTTCTTCAACAATCGGCATCAATAAAAGATTAAATGGTTTTAAAGCTCTGGTAAATAATTCAAATTGCACGTTATAAATAATACTAAAATTTTTTAATAAAATTTATTTTATACAGGGTGATTCCCGGCCATCGCAAGTTAGACCTTTATAAAGGCACCTGCTCCATCTGTCTAAATAATTTTCAGCATTGCAGTGTTGCCGAACAACTTCATACTAAAAGTGGCAGAATCTTTGTTATTTTAAGCGGAATACCTAGTATCTTATTACATTTTTCGAAACTACTTTCATATCTGATAACTTTTCTATTATACAAACTTAAACCAATCTCTAATAGTTTTTGAAATAAAAAAAAAATATTTGTAAAATTGACAAAAACATGTTATTGAATAAGCATAAATCGTAAATTCGGCATATTGAAAGCTAAAATTGGGTTTATAGGTTAAGGAAAATCGACATATTCGATCTGTGTAAATCAACTTATTCGATATTAAACAGAACGGTCAGAAAAAAAATATTATTTCCGATTGTTATAAAATCGTTCAAATTATTGTTATTTTAAACTCAAGCCTATGTATATTATTTAAAAAATAGAAACCCAAGTAAAATTGCTTCTCAACCATATATCATGTTTCTATATCACCTTCTGATTTCTTCAGTAAAGCCGTTTAAAAGAAAATAATTCTATAACAATTGTTTCGTTTAAAGAAAATCATTCCATGACAAATATTCAAACTTTATAAGTATCAGAGTTTAGGTGCTAAATTCCTAAAACTGTCATGGTAACGAAATTCTTGAAATGAAACTAGGTATAGGAACATGATTATATATCGCTGAAAAGAAATTTTATTAGTCTTTTGATTTTTTAAATAATATACATAGGGTTAAATTTAAAATACCAAAAGCAATTTTATAACAAAGGGAAATAAATAATATTTTTACTCTACCTGTGCAATATCCAGTCAGTTTATTTAGACAGATCGAATATATGTATTGGCTTTCGTTAACTTACAACCGAAATTTCAACTTTAAAAATATGTAATTCATGATTTTACCAATACTTATTCAAGATCATGTTTTTGTCAATTTTACACATGCTTTATTTTTTATCTCAAAATTACTATTAAAGACAGTACAATAGTATAATAGAAAAATTATGAGATATGAAAGTAGAATTAAAACATGTCATTAACTTTAAAACAAGTCACATACTGGGTGTTCCATTTAAAATAAGAATGATGCTACTACTTTTCAAATTATGCGTCAACAATGAAACGCAGAAAATATTTTAGAAAGATAGAGCAGAAGCAATTTTTATAAAAATTCTATAACCAGTTCTCCATAAACGTCTAACGTGCCATCACCTTGAATCACCCTTTATATTCCACAATTGAATCCATTCGGAGGTAGTAAATCGAGAAGGATATTGTGTCAGAACTTAAATTAACAATGAAATTCTTGCGAATTCCAGAAAAAGAATATAAGATAGATCTCGGTCAAAAAACAAAAACAAATATATAACTATCATCATCATTTCCAGCTCATTTAACCATTTCCAATTATGGTATAATCTCCTTTACATATTCACATAATCTCCTCTTTGTAATTGGGTTCCTTGTTGTCTATTGTTGGCTACGTGGGTCCAAGTTATCGCTGTAATTTCCTAAAATCCTAGTCCCATCTCAGGTTTGGTCTTCTTCTAGGTCCCTTAATTCCTCGTGGGC